TATATATATATATATACACGTTCTTTAATAGCCTATAAGTGAAAGACCAAAATGAAATCCGACTGACCAACGACGATAATGACGTGAGCTAAATAAATAAAACTCAACAAAAAAATGAAACTAGCTAATATTTCCATTTCTAATTGAACGACAAAAGCTTATTGTACACTTTGGCTTTAACTTTCCGACAGTAACCGTCAAACAAAACGGTCATAAATTCCGTAGAGCCAAGTAAGCAAGAACCCTATAACCCACCAGCATGATCCCAAGAGCCAACACATCCCACATCATATTGTTATTCCCAATCATCAAATTCCTAATCCCTTCATAATCCATAACCCTACAACGCAACCCTAATCCACATTCATATACCTCATTCCCTGTGTACTGAACCCCGACAAGAAGCTTATAGCAGTAATGGCTGAACGAAATGTACTTCAGCCAAGCGATGAAACCCGGTATGTGCTGAATGTAGTATCCGCCGGCTAGCAAGAAGACGAGCATCGTCACTGACGACAGCGTCGTGGCCTGCTTCACGTCCATCAAGATGGCTCCCATGGCTAACCCTACGGCCTGAGCCACTAGGACGTTGTACAGAACGATCAAAAGGGTCAAGAGGAATGTGGTTGGCGAGGGTTTGAGCCCACCCATCCAATACGAAATGGTCACGAAGATGGTTGGAAGGATTAGTTCCATTGGCAAGTCGCCAACTGTTCTTGCAATGTAGTAGGAGGAGAGTCTGTACATTCCCGAAGATCGTTCTTTTACGAGCATTGGACGTTCTTGAGGGAACGTGAAAATGGCGTTGAATAGCGGGAAGAATCCCCAAAATATGGAGAAGAAGAAGAGCAAGCCCACCTAGTTTAAGACATTATATACAAGTAAGAACATTGATAACAACATAAAGAATGTAACATATATATTTGACACAAAGGTGCTTCTCTATGTCGGATATGCAACTTATGGTTATATATACACATATATGTATATGTGTACCTGATCTTGAAGATGAGAAACACGGGAATGCCACCATAAGAGGCCGGAGAGGATCGAAACCGACATCACCTGAAATATTCTAAGTCCTGAGAAGGATTCGTGCCTTCTCTCCTTCAAGCCCCGTTTCAGAAGAACGTAGAACTGAACCCACCAACTCGTTGGCCACTGAGTATCTTTCGTTCCTAAAACGATACGACAACCACAAGATAGATAACATATAAGCCATAACCAAAATGTATTTATAAGCTTTTATTTCTATTCTTCTTTTTGGTAACTTACTTGTGGATGACTTCGTTTTCGAACCGGAGAATGTCTGGTCTTGCGGTAATGATGTTCGGGAAATCTCGTCTTTCAACAATGGATACAAGCTCTTTCTGTAAGAATGTATTAACATTTGTTTCACAGAATTCTGTTCTTCGTGTCGCTCTAATCTTCCATGAACTTCAACTTGATCGTATTGTTTTGTGTCCGGAGTTATGCCTGCAGATGCAAACGACAAAGCAATATAGATTTATAACCTAATTTCTTATTCTTTTTCCCATGGGTATTAGACAATAAAATTTGCAAGGAATACGCAAAGGAACATATTTGCCTACGTGGATAAAGTGTCGTTTTCAGACATCTCATGATGCATGAGGAAAAGAGTTCACTTTACAGTCGACGTTAGCTGTTCCAGTTCTCAATTAACCCCAACGAAACAAAAAATATTTAAATAGATTCGGCGTTTATTTTTCCTACTCACCGTTAGCGAGATCAAGAACGAAATCCGCCGGGTTAACGAAACTCGAACCGGGTTGGAACCCAATGGACCCGAAATACTCCATGACCCGACCCGACTCCCCACTATAAATCGGCGACCCTTCCGAGAGAATAAGGACCTTGTCGAACATCTTATAAAGCCGACTCGACGGCTGGTGAATGGTCGTGACCACCGTACGGCCTCCACGCGCCAACCCACGTGCGGTGGCGATCACTCGCGCCGCCGCGGTCGAATCCAGGCCCGACGTCGGTTCGTCGAGGAGAAGCAGGCTCGGGTTCACGAGCATCTCTTGCCCGATACTGACCCGTTTTCTCTCCCCACCCGAAATTCCTCGGATCAAACCGCCTCCGATTACGCTGTTGCTGCACCGGTTTAACCCGAGATCCGATATAACCGATTCCACCTGTTCGATTTTCTCTAACCGGGTTAGTTCCTTGGGTAGACGGAGCATCGCCGTGAAAGTTAACGTCTCCGTGACGGTTAAGTGAGGGTAGAGGACGTCGTCTTGGGTCACGAATCCTATTTTGCGTTTCACGGAGCTGGAAAACGGCTGTCCGTTATATGTGACGGAGCCGGAGAGCTTGCCGTTTAAACGCCCAGCTAACGCCGTTAAGAGGGTGGTCTTGCCGCTTCCTGATGGCCCGAGCATTGCGAGTAGCTCTCCCGGTTTGACTATACCGGTTACGCCGTTGAGGATTAACCGAGTCGATTTCGGTTCGTGTGATCCGAACCAAAAACTACCCTTCCCGGTTCGCAAATTGATGCTATACGTCAGGTCCTCGAACTGCGGTATTACAAACGCAACGCAATCTTGATTAAACCAATAGAAAGACAAATACAAAACCGGTTTAGTATCCGGTTAAGTACATGGTTTACATACCTTGAGAATCACGGGACGTAAAGATCGGCGAAGAACGGAAGATTTTCTTAATTGATGATCTTGATGAGGACTTGGATTTTCTTCGTCGGGGCAAGGGATTACGTGGCTAGGGGAACTAGACCGATCAGCGTGAACCGGCATGGTCTCGGACCGGTTTGCAAGCACAGCGTTAACCGGACCGGTCTTCATGGCAATGCTGGCTTCTTGTTCACCAGGAGGCATCATCTTGAGAGAGAAAATGAATTTTGGTGTGTGAGTTGAAGGGTCACAGGTAATGTGGTGTATATATAAAGGTCTAAAGGGGAAGAAGTGGGGACTATTATGTAAAGTAATAAAATATATATATATATATATATATATATGTATTATTATTAACAGCGCAAATTTATGATTGGTATAAAGAATTTCTCAAATGGGGATAAAGTCATAAAATATTATTTTGAGGACAGTAATTAAAAAATTATATTCAAATTTCACCATTGATTAACTGAATATATATTAAAATGCATCAATTTTAAGAGATAATACTCATTTTTAAAATTATTTTCGAATGTTGAATTTGAATCAAACTTATACTTCTTCTACCATGGAACATTATGTATTTTTTGCAATGCCAGTTTTGAAACTAATCCTTTTTTTTTTGAAACATTATGTGTACCAAAAAAAAACTAATTCTTAAATACTTTGTAATTTTCTTAGAAAAAAATAATTTTGAATGATAATATTTGTTGAATTTTAGCACATGAAAAGTGATCATTTCTCTGTACAATTTTAATTATGGTATATAAATCATTCTGAAAAATATCGTTGGATCAAGTAAATTCTCGAATTAAAAAAAATATATATAAAAAATTATAGTTTATGCCATAATTATTACACGTCTGTTTTTATTTTTCTTTGGACACGCGTCATGTTTATGACGCCCTAGTATGGAGAACATAAAGTCGTTGTTTGATAGGGACAAAAGTAAAGTGTTCTCTGGTCACACTGTTTGTTAAAAAAAGAATTGACCATTTGCAATTTTTTTAATCATATATATTCATATAATGGTGAGAAAAAAAACATCCCACATCCTTATAGAAAGACGTACCAAATAATCAATTTCGTTTGATATATATATATATATATATATATTAAATAAGAATTTTCTGTTTTACCCATATGAATTTTCTCGCATTTCATAATTTGGGACCGCCGAACCAATCTGATACACGATGAAGCCGCAGTATTTTTTTTTTTTTTTTGGTTAAAACGAAGCCGCAGTTTTCCCTTGATAATTTGTGGCAATATTGAAGCAAAAATATTATATTATGATCAAAATATATCTACGCACATTTACAAAAAAAAAAAAAATATATATATATATATATATCTACGTGCATTTAGACATATTATCGAAATGATGTTTACCAAAGCGTTGCTTCTTCGTAAAATTTTTCTATGTCTCTGTACAGTTTTTCTGGAACTAG